ACAATAGGGTCTGGGCGTGATGAAAATCTGATGTCATCACGCATGACGCAATATTTTTCAAGGCCAAACAAATTTCATCATACACCCCGAAAATAGATTCATATTACTGCAAACTACTGAAAATGATCTAATCTGAGGAAAAAAATAGAATTCGATTACACACTGTCACTGAAGTGGGTCTAAACCTCACTGTACGGTAAAAGGAAGAAAACTGAAGCGGTTGTTTCAATTAATTTGCACAATGGTGTATTTGCGCGACTGAGACTATAACGAACCCGACCAGAATTCGAACTCGTTGCATTGAGTTTTGCAGAAATACTCTTCAGAAATGTACGTATCAATCTCTTCTCCCCTACCAAAAGCTATGGGTAAAATATTCTAATCTAACTTTTTTAATTAATTCTGGGTTTAGCATAATAAACTGTTTTGAAATTTTGAACATTTACATTTTTACATTTTAGGCTCCGGCTTTCTTCGATTGATTGGAATTTCGAATCGAACCCTTTATTTCGTGGTAGATTGTTCTAGTTCCACGTGCTCTGTCTCTTCCGGGTATCTCAGTTTCAGTTATTTATATTTATTATAGGAACACTAAATAAGTTTTATCTTGTCGTTAATGGTTTCATTTTTTTTTGTTAGGTCTTGATAGGTAATAAATAAACATTTTTCTGTCTATATCTCATGATGAGGTATTATGAATATGTGCATTATTTACATTATTCGGACTGTTATCCTCATTTTCATTTGCCTATTCACAACGTTTCGGCCGTTGTACGCTCCTGCCTTCAAGATCTATCTCTATCTCTGAGATGAGGTATTATGATTACTTGCATTATTTACATTATTCGGACTGTTATCCTCATCTTCATTGCCATATTCGCAACGTTTCGGATGCTGTACGCTTCGGCTCTCCTATTTATTCTATAAAATATATCACAGTTTAACTATATACAGTTATCGGTAACGCAGCCTGAGCTCCTCGATTTACTCATGAGATATTCCGTTCTTATGGTAGATGAGGCAACATTAATCGTATATCCCTTATGTTATAAAGACAATACATTTTTTTAGGTAAGCGTAAGGCATAACTAGTCAAGCTTAAGGTGATAATATCTTGATTTTTATTTTTGTTTCGTCTTCACCCTCTGTAGGTGTTTTAGTTTTAATGATTTTAAAAGCAGAATTCTTTCTTACAAAGGGCACTAAAGTTAATTGCATATATAATGATCCTAGATTATTCAAGTAGAAACAATAACAATTTTCTAGGTTATTGCCGGTGTTTTATAAGCCGCGATATAAACGTTGTTAGTTGCGACCGGAATGATTCCTGGAATATGCCTATGTCAATAAAGTCTTCTAAAACAAGCATCCAGAGTTAGTGTCTTTCTCTTTCACTCAAATAATAGCGTTACAGAATTGTTTTATTCTAACACTACTGAATAAAATTGCAAACTTGTTTAAAAATTGCCATAACTTTTTGACTTTAGCTGCCAAGTTTACAAGAGTCAAAAAAGATGAATACATTCTCCACCTGCAACAGAATGCCAAATTCACACGACTGAAGAATTTATGTCAGTGTGCGTCTTTATGAGCGGATGCATCCGTATAAGTAGCCCAGGCTCTCGGTGATTTTATTGAGCCACCATCACTAGAATGCTTGCCAAAAGAGGCTATAAAACAGAGGCTGCCCTGTTATTTGACCCATAGCTGGGAGAGAAGATATTGATTTATACTTTTCCCTAGGGTGTTTGCGTGTAAGTGAATGCAACAAACTCGGCTGGAATTCGAACTCAGCTCTCCTATTTCTCGTATTGAACTTGAATTTATTACACCATACAAACATCCAATAGGTACATGTTATGGTCCGGTTCCTTGTACAACGGTGATAGTCCAAGGTAGAACCAATAAAGAAGAACTCGAAGTGTGTAGAGTGTGGCCTGACAAAGATTCCATAAATGGTCATAGCTTGTGCCGCAGTTTTGGGCCAAACACATCATTCTCCAGGGCCGACAAGCACCCTATTCCCCAGATCCCGTCACTTAAGACTTTTGTTCTTCAAAAATTGCATAGCACGTGGAAGGAACAAGATTCCAAGACGTCAAAGAAATCTATGGGAATGCAACCAGGCAGCTTCACCCTATCCCCCAAGAAAGGGAGTTCCGGGTATGCTTTCATCAATGGAAACTATGCTGGATAAAATGTCTGGATTCAGAAGGGGAATATTTTGAAGGAGATTAAATGCCGAATTGATATATGGTGTAGTTTTTTTGTTTTTTTTATAGCACCAGTCCAGGTACTTTTTGAGCAGACCTTGTAGAAATGTCTGCACGGTGACTGAATAGAAATCAGAACGTTGGCAAATGTTTGACACACACACACACACACACACACACACACACACACACACACACACACACACACACACACACACACACAAAAACAGTGAAATTTTGCAGACTCAATATTTGATCTCGTTCTGAGTTTAGTTTAATAAGTGTTGGCTTGAATTGTGATTCTGAATAATGAGACGAAGTCGACAAAAGCTGAATATTCGGCCGGATATTTTAATTCTACCCTCTATGTTGACAATAAAGAAAGACTGATTGCTTTCCTATCTGAGTTAATAACAGATGAGACCAGCCATATCCCACAGACTGACAGACCACTCAACAAATGCATTAATGGCTTTTCGATTTAGATGCTGATATCGGCTTTTATTTCTGAAAGATTCTCAAATTCTTTCAAATTTAAATCCACATAGGGTTTTTTTTTGTTTCGTTATTTCTATAAAATGTTCACTATATTCTTGACAAACAAATTAAACTTTTCAGCAGATTTCCCTGTTTTTATATTTTTCAGAATTCTAAAATTTACTTCGGAAGTTATCTCGTAGAGAAACCACTCAAAAGATGGAGACACTTTGAACTTTTCAGTAAGATACTCATAATTATTAGTATTCATAACACTATTAATAACAATGTCTATAAGCAGTCCTGGTTAACCTCGAGGTGGTATAACGGTTAGTAAGCTTGTTTTGCTAGAACAATTTCTGTTGAGTAGTGAGTTCGATCCTCACTGGGTACCCAATGCTTTCGACCTGTGCCATATCTAAGCTACGCTTAGAAAATCACTATAAGCAGTACAGCTACTAGTACGACTACTATTAATAATAATAATAATCAATATATATATTGGTACTTCTAATTAAGCCCAACCGTCAGGTTTATCCACTGTTTCTATGAAAACATTTCACTTTATCGCACATTTGGCTGTGATGCCCACCTGTATCCACCATCCATACACCTCTGTGTCTCCTGCTCACGACTCACGAGTAGGCTGGACCTTCGCAGACCTCTCCTTCAGCGGCACCAGAGGGACGAAAAGGAAATAAGGAGAAAAAAGATGACGATACCGCAGCACGGATGAGAGCGGGTACGGACGAAGCTGGTATATTTATCAGACTAGATATATTTATAAATATAATGGGCTGTGCATATTTGTACCCCAGCACAATTCTTTTGGCAGACTTTTATCTTACACACTAATAATATCATTATTAATAATTATAATAACCCCTTTCAAAACACGAACATAACATGATACCTTGCAGCCCGTATTTACAAGAGATTAAAATAATTTCACTGAGTGGATCGACTCATCTACTCAGAAGATTTAAACAAAATAATGAACAATTGGTTCGGTTTTTTTTGGGGGGGGTTACGGCATATCAACACCTCAATGGGTTATTTGATGTCGACAAGATTTTGATTGCTGGTAATATTTTATCCTGAAAATATATTGTCGGTAATATTCTTTTTCTTTTTTTTTCTTTTTTTTTTCATAAATGTATTGCTGGTAATAATTTTTCAAAAAAAGCATTGCCGCTATTAAAACCTGTTTTTATGCTTTCAAAGTGACCTGCCACCTCCGTAGGGGGCAACTATTTGTCAATAGCTGGGACCCCGGCAGGTGCCACCACCCTGGATCAGGGTGGACCTGGAAACACAAGTAATTAAGAGATGGTTTCTTCGTTCCTCAAAACCTCCTCAACAGAGGCCTTACTGTCTGATGTAGTTTATACGAACACTCCTCGTGTTAAATATCACTTAACATCCGAATATGGGCAAACTGAATATATATATATATATATATATATATATATATATATATATATATATATATATTGAGCACTTTATCCCATAAATATAGCACACATTAAGATTATATTTCTTGCCATCCAAGGCTATAGAACCCAGTCTGTTCTGCTATTTATCCATAGCTGGGGGAAGAGGATTAACATTTTACCCAAGAGTATTTTTACGTAAGTGAATATAATGGATTCGACTGGAATTGGAACTCTGCTCTTCGAACCGCTTACCCAATACTCCTCCGTTCCATATATATATATATATATATATATATATATATATATATATATATATATATATGTATATATTCCTTTAACTAACCCTAGGCCTGGTGTGATGCACTTGTCAGAGATTACACTAAACAGAAAGCAAATAATAATAATAATCGCTCAGGCATAGTAATGAAAGACCACACAATTAGTATGTGATGTCTTATTGTAATGACAGTCCCTTCAGATTATAATGTAGACTTGAAAAACTCTTAAATATATGAAAATACGATGACCTTAAAGTGGAAATCAAAAAGATGCGACACATAATGACGTCAATAATTCCACTTGTTGTTGAGGGCCCTGGTTTTCACTGGGAAATTTTTCGATGAACTCATTGAAGGGATTCCATACATAAAGTAATACAAAAAATTGTACTCACAACAACAGCTCACACATTATGAAGTGCTTTATCTATATAAATTGGACGTGATCGTAATTTTCTTTTTACAAAAAAAAATGATCAGTGGAAAATATTATGAAGTCATTTCTGATCTTAGGTCTCTGGTTGGGACCCGGAAGGGAATTTGAATACAAGAGAAATCTGATGAAATAATAATAATAATAATCACTCAAAAATGGGTCACATGAAGCCATCAAAAATGGGTCGTATAAAGACATAAAGGTTTGACTGTGGAAGGTTCTTATCGGAGGAATAATAATAATAATAATAATAATAATAATAATAATAATAATAATAATAATAAAAGAACCAACTATTGCAGCAAAAAAGAACCAACTATTGCAGCAAAAGATATGAAAAAGAAAGCCAAGGATAAAGCCCTTGAACAGATGAAACAACGCTGGCAAGACAAACCTCTGCATGGCCAATATCCAGAACGTGCAAATAAACCCAATGTTGATAAAGTTAATACTCATCGATGGTTACGAGCATCTGGATTAAAGTCTGAAACTGAAGGCTTTATTCTTGCAGCGCAAGACCAGAGTCTTTTCACTAGGAATTTTCAGGCAAATATCATACACAATAATGTGGATCCAAAATGCAGGTTCTGTGACAAATACCAAGAAACAATAGACCATCTAATCTCAGGATGTTCTATACTTGCCCCAAATGAATATAAAAATCGTCACGATAGAGTGGGGCAATACTTACACTGGACAATGTGCAAACACTTTGGAAAATGTAAGCAAACACTGGTATGAACATCGGCCAGCGCCGGTTACAGAAATAGAAGATGTCACCATTCTATGGGATTATACCATCCACACAGACAGAAAAATTGAAGCAAATAGGCCGGACATTATTGTCAAAAACCAGAAAGAAAAAACTTGCCTACTAATTGATATGGCTTGTCCAGCGGATTGTAACATAGCAACCAAGGAATTTGAAAAACTATCAAAATACAAAGACCTGGAAATTGAAATAGAAAAATGTGGAAATTGAAAACAAGAATAATACCAGTGGTAATAGGTGCACTTGGAATTATAAAAATGGAACAAAACAACACATTGAAAGAATCCCTGGAAACCCCAGCTTAAGAGACATACAGAAAATTGTCTTATTAAGTACAGCACACACACTAAGGAGAACTTTGTCTATGTAACGCTAGCAACTTCACCGGAGATAAAAAAAAAAAAAAAAAAATTAACATGAAATGTGGCCATAACAACACACCACGACCTGCCTTAGGTCTTTCCGCAGACTTGGTAGGTAGTGTGTCCATAGCAGAAATCGAATGATGATGATGATGACAATAATAATAATAATAAGTTGAAAGTTGAACATTTGTCGGATGACATTATGTGCATACCTCGCAGCATGTAACCGAGCGTATAGATTGTACAATTTGAAATTACATTTTTCTTTTCTTTAATTTCATTTTAAGTCTCTTTGACTTTATTTAACTTTGTTTTTTGTTGTTTTTTCCTCTTTTTCTGTCTTTTTTTTATTAATATCCATATTTTCAACTATTTTTTCCCAACACTTTCAGCTGAAACTCCTGTTCTTTGTCTCCGCCTAATGTATCTTTGTTGATATATATATATATATATATATATATATATATATATATATATATACACACACAGGCTGTCCATAAAGTTCGTGTGCACATTAAAAAATTATAACTTTGTATTTGCGATAGAAATAATTTGTAAAAAGTATCAGAAAGAAGAAAATCTATATTTTTTAAGGTTTTATTGAAATTTTATTTAAGTTTCCAAATGTCCTCCATCATTAGCAATACAAAGGGTAATACGATTTTGCAGTTCACGGAAAACATTTGCCAACTGATTTACAGTAATGCCTGAAATCACATTAGTTATTTTAGCTATACTTAAAACTAGGTACATTAAAATTTATAACATTTTTTACAGATTATTTCTATCGCAAAGACAAATAAAGTTATAAATTTTTAAAGTGCACACGAACTCTATGGAGTGCCTGTATATATATATATATATATATATATATATATATATATATATATATATATATATATATATATATATATATATACACACATCGAAAAAGATACATCATACGGAGAAAAAATTAAATAGGACAGGAGTTTCCGCTGAAAGTATGTATGTATATGTGTTTGTATGCGCATGCCTAAGGATCGTATTGACAGACTTTTTTCCTTCGTTTGCATATGGCTGTAGATCTACTTATTTGAAAATGTTCCGCTTTTGGACTGACTTCTCTTTCAGCGAAAAGTTTAATTTTAGAGAATAGCAGAGTGATAAATGACCCCAAATGTAAAATCTGTTTTATTCTTTTCTTGTTTTTATCGTTTTGTTTAATGAATTACTTGATGACCCTTCCGAAAGTGTAGTGATGGGATGATCTACCCTAGGAAACTTGAGAACTCTCAGTGGCACCGTAAAGAATACCTCTCAACATGGTTGCTGAGGACATTAGGTTTATAATACCCAGAAATTCATACCCAGATGTTCTCAAGGACATATGGCACATAAGGCGTTTGCTAGATCCAGTGTCAGGACCCAAAGAGTGTGAGTTCAATACCTGGTTAAGGCAGTGGAGAACTTTCAGAGGGAAATTAGCAGGAGATAACTGATAACTGACATCCATCAAACATGGCACGTGGAACTAGAACAGTTTACCCCAGTGATCGAAATAAAGGGTTCAGTCCGACATTCCAACCGAAACGTTGTAATAAATATGGCGACAAAGATGAGGACAATAGTCCGAATAATGTAAATAATGTAGATTTATATGAATAGAATATGTATTCTTTGTAAGAAATCAGTTCGTAGATCAGGTTTCATTGACTTATATTTGTAAATAGTTTTTTTTTTTTGTTTTTTTTTTGTCGAGAGTCGCCTTAATTTCTGGTAATATTTTTCTTTTTTTCAAAAATGTGTTACTTGTAAAAAATGTTAATGTATTGCTGGCATTTTTAATATAAATATGTTTTGTTATACTTCAACAGTGTTTTGACCCCAGTTCGGGGGTGAACTATTTGCCTGTAGCTGGGCCCATAACAGGTGCTACCTCCTCGGATTAGGGTGAACGTGGGAACAACAGCAGTTAAGAAGTGGTTCCACGCTCCTCAAAACCTCCCAATGAGAGTCCTTGCTGCTGGATGTAGTTTATCGTCATACTGAAGGACTAAAGCATCTCAGATTCAAGATCTTGTTGCAGTTTTTTTTTTATTTTTACTGTTATTCACTCAGTACAAGACACAAGAGGCACTCAATGGTTACTGAATATGTTTGCTGATACTCGATAACGGTTGATAGGATGATCGAGAAAGCATCCTCTCGGGAGTCTCTTTCACAAATTAGTAGCGGTTCTTGTGAAGAAGTTGTTCTAATGGAACGTCCTTTTACCAAGAGAATGCGGGGGTAACAATGATTTAACCCTTTATACGTGACATGGTAGGTCTTAGCAGTGAACTAGTAGAACAAAGGGATGTAGCTCGTCAGTATATTTTCCATAGAAATAGGTATCGCGACTTTGCGTCTGTGAGGAAAGTGGTGGTAGGGTGAAATGTAATTTATGAGCCCCCTAACGTCATGTAGATGGTTTTCAACTCTGGAGAGGCTGGAAGGTGGGGATTCGGCTCTAGCCCTTATATTGCAGAAATACTCCATTTCTGATCTTATCTGACCCTTGCCAAGATAGATAATCGAAAGTCATATACACCCTGGAATGATACAAAGATCTGGCCATATTCCCAATCTCTTTAGCAATGGAGGGTATAAAAGATTAAGAATTAAAGTTTAGGATTAAACTCAAGTCCAAAAGTCTCTTTGTTAGTACAGCCGATCATAACAGGAGAATCGTGGTCTCCTCGGTGAAGATGGAACGTTATTAGGTTGGTTTGATAGGTACTGAATTTCAGAAATCAGTTTTTCCCCCATTCAGGTGGTAGAGTTAGCTCAGATGGGAGATAAGCTGCCAGCTTATATATAACTGATGTTTACTCTTTTAAGCATTCTGTTAAAATGAATGAAACTCGAAGCTGGTTGATTTTGAAGGATGCAACAAAATACAAAATATATTTTCTAAGCATTGATAACGAATATTTTAGATTAGACTTCCGCCCTGTGTATGACGATAATCTACATCTGCGAACTGGATAAAACTACATCAGACAGCAAGGCCTCTGATCAGGAGGTTTTGAGGAGCGTGGAACCGCCACTTAATTGCTGGTGTTCCCAGGTCCACCCTGACCAGGGGTGGTAGCACCTGATAGGGTCCCAGCTATGGGCAAATAGTTATCCCCTAATCTAGGGCCAAAACACTATGAAAGTGTAAAAATATGTTTTAATACTAGCAATACACTTTTATAAAAGATTATTACCGGCAATGAATTTTTGAAATATTAAATATTACCAGCAATACGTTTTTGTAGAAAAATTATTATCAGCAATAAAAATCTTGTCGGCATTAAATAACCCATTGAGGTTGATATGCCATAACATAAACCAAACCAAAGAAATATATACTGAGATAGATAGATAGATAGATAGATAGATAGATAGATAGATAAAAAAAATTACCAACAATAAACATCTTGTCGGCATTAAATAACCCATTGAAGTTGATATGCCGTAAAACAAAACAAACTGAACCAATAGATAGATAGATAAAAATATTACCAACAATAAAAATCTTATTGCCATTAAATAACCCATTGAGGTTGATATGCCGTAAAACAAACCAAATCAAACCAACTAGATTAGACTTATAGACGAACAGTGCGGAATATTTGTGTGAATGACAATCTCATGGCCTTAAAGCAAAGATTGTTATCCAAAGATCACAGTAAGTTTCCTTTTCAATGGTTGCAATGCGAAAAGAAACCCTTCAGAAAAGACGGATTAATTTTTAATTGGTTCCAAAGATCACACTTTTTTTAAAACGAAATTAAATCTATTTTTTCCTCTATATAAATTGTATTCAATGTAAATATTCATTAAGATTTCATTTTTAGATGTTGTTATTTTTATCCACACATCCAGAAAAATTGGAAATACGGGAACGAGTTAAGACTGCATAGAGACTTTGAGGTATTATGGTGACTGTAGTAAGAATATGTTGCTTTGGTGTAATGCATACTGTGTCATGTTTGGGTCAGTAATCGTGGCTGGCTAAGTTTAAGATAAGACATATTCAAGACTTGCTTTACCCTAACCCCCCTTTTGACTTTGTGCCACATTTTTGTGTTATATCAAAATAAATATATATAAAAAAAACATAAATTAAATTTTAAAAAATGAAACCTATTTTAGATTATTTGGATTTCGGAATCTAAAAAAAATCTTTTAATCTCAGCTTTTAAATCGAATTTTGAAAGCAAATCATGACAATATATTTACAGGAATCCCTCGATTAATGCACAATCAATTACTGTATTTTCGATTAGTGCCCTAAAATATTTATATACCAAAATTCGATTAGTGCATGCTTAAATACATTGAGTCAATTGCTTCGTCCACCGCGAGGACAGTTGGCTCTCTGTGCCGCGCCAGGAAATTTTTCTCCCCTGAATCGGTACTTCAAATATACAAATCATTAGCCCTTGCATGGAGTATTGCTACCATATATGGTCCGGTGCACCTTCTGTTTACCTCGGTGTTCTTGACAAGATCCAGAGGCGGATATGTAATATAATTGGCCCTGATCTGGCATCTCGTCTACAGTCACTCTCTCACAGACGCGCCGTCGCCTCTCTCTGTCTTTTTTACAAGTACTTTCATGGTAATTGCTCCGATGAGCTGCTTTCACTGGTTCCCAGACTCCATGAATTCAAACGCCCTACGAAGCTGGCATCCCGCTCCCACCCTTTCACTGTCGAAACTGTAAAATGTTGCTGTATCTTTTACTCCAATAGCTTCATACTTCGCATCTCTCGCCTGTGGAACACCCTTCCCTATTCCTGTTTCCCTGAGAGCTATAATCTCCAACTATTCAAATGTAATGTCAATTGACATCTCCAGTTACCTTGATCTACCCACTATCCTTCTCCTCATCCTTTCTTCTATCACTCCTATCTGCTCTCGCTCCAAATCTTCTGCAACCCCCTGCATCCTAGTGGCTTCACGCCTTGCTCGGGGCGTAATGCTTAAAAAAAAAAAAAAAAAGAAAAAAATGTTCTTTAGTTTAACTACAGTAATTGAAAATTTATTTGTTTTATAGTTACCGATTAATTAAAATTTAGAAATGGATAATCATTTTGTTCGTCAAATAGTACGTTATCTAAATAGTTAACGTCGTGTTAAAAAAATGGACGGTTATAATTCGATAAATTTTATAATAAAGGATGTTTTATTAAAACGTATCAAAGTCAGCATTAAATAAATCAGTGTTATTGGTGAAAAATTTATTTCTCAATTGGATCATGTTATTTAAGTCATGGTAATTATGCGTGAAAAATAATATCGCCCAAATATCAGCCAAGGCTTCGGCAGCACACCTCCATTTGATGGTCAAAATTTTTGATCACGTAGTTTCTCCTCGATCACACCAATATGCCTTATTATCTCATCCCTCATCTGTTGAATTGTTGTTGGCTTATTGGCATAGACCTTACTTTTGAGATGACCCCACAAGAAGAAAGACGTCAAGTCGTACGATCGTGGTGGCCAACAAACTTCGCTGTTTCGAGAGATGATGCGACCTGGGAACTTCTCATTCAAATTCTGTTTGAACGTCTATTTTTGTAATAGGCTTCGATAACTTTAACACGTTATTTGATTGTTAATCTTTCCATGGTTGAAATTGCCAAAGACTTCAGTTGTTAAATTTGAAAGAAAAAGAAAAAATCATTAAACGCTTAAACTTAATTCACATTTAAAATCGGTCCAAGATATTGGAAAACCCTTTATTATCTTTAGGATGGAATGAAAGACAAGCCCATATGAGAGTCAAAGGTTTTTGTAATGTGCTGAAAAGGTGATAATGACCTTGATCAAATTTTGCCGCCAGAAAGTTTTTTTTTATTCGTAGTGTAGCTGTTAACGTCTGCTGGATTTGAAATTAATCCACTCAGAGTAGATTATATTTTGTTATTTCGTATGCCGCATTAAACTACTAATATTTTTATGATAAAGGGAATATTGAAACGTGCACGAACTGAGGTTGATACTAAAGACTTGTGAGATCTTAGCAAATTCTTTTTTACACAGAATTTTCTTTTTTTATTGAAATTGAGGGCAGATATATTACGGAGAACTAATAGTGCGTTTAATGTGTTGTCATGCAACAGATCTACGCGATGCTCGTACCTTCTTCTATGTACCCCTTCCCGTTGGTGATCATAGCTCTCCACAACTTCTTGTTCTTTGTAGCGCTTAATAAATTTATAAGCCGAGAATAAAAATATATCTTTTGAATATTTGTTTTTATTAATTTTTTTTGAATATTTTGATTTTTCTTATGTTTATTTTGAAGGTAATTTTTGATTTTTTTTTTGTTAAAAAATGGACGATTTAATTCCCTACAGAAATTTACATTTATCAAAATATATCGAAATATAAATAATGTATGCATTTACCATGGAAAGATTATGAATAAAAGTTCCAGGTTAAAATACCAATGATTATGACCTGTCCTGGGTAAGACGATAAACTACATCCAGCAGCAAGGCCTCTGACCAGGAGGCTTTGAGTAACGTTGAACCACCTCTTAATTACTGGTGTTCCATGTTTGGAAAATCTGAAGGGGAAATTTCTCCATACCGCCAATTATATGAAGAACAGAAGAATACGATGCGGCAAACCACTCTAAATAAGATTTTCATAAAAAGTCAGATTAATAAATATGAATTCATTGCATTTTTATTGTAACTTCTTATGTTTACCTATATTTTAATTAAAAGGTACGCCAATTAAAAATTAATAGTAAATGAGGCTAAAATTTGAGGTACAAATTACATTATCTCCTATAAGTTGCTCTTAGGTTGGTGCAAAAATAATGACGTAATAATGTCGTTTTTGACGTTAAAAAATACGTTAAAAAACGACATTATTACGTCATTATGTTTGCACCAACCTAATATATTCGATTAATGCATTTTCTATTAGTGCGTAACTTTTAATGTACAAATTAGCCACGCTAACCGAGGGATTCCTGGAAATAAATCCAAGAACTAAAGAATATATATATATATTTCAAATTGATTGATTGTTTGGAAACCTCATGGTACTGTGACGTCGTCTCCCGGTCGCAGCGCCGACTGTGACGTTCTATCCTGACTACCACGGCACCAGTTGTGACGTCCCTAAACAGCACCAATTGTGACGTCTTCGCTGCGGCGTCAGCTGTTCGCTCCTGGCCGTTTCGTCCGGGTGTCGCTGCTCCAAACGTGACGTTCTAACCCTTTGGTGATTCGGGTAGGAATCTGGTTAGATTGATACCAGCCTCGCCGTTCCCAACCTGCTTCCAACGCCTGGTTACCAGGGTAACTTCACTGATCTCCAGTCTGCCTACCCACGTTGTGAATTGATCTTAGACAGACGAGATCAAACAGGGGTTGGGGCCGTAATGCAAGCTGAGTTCAAAGGGGGTAATAACACACAATTATGTATAAAAGAAAAAAAAAATGAAAACTCACAAAGTCCAAAGTATCAAAGAAAAAGGTAACAAACTTTTTATGTCTATTTGTTCGGTACATAGGACTATGTCTACTTCCCGACCCGTTCTGTGGATTGTGGCACGACGCTTTCGCTAGGCAAACATTAACGCTTCAAGTTGTCTGCTCTCTAAGAATTTTGTGTTTCGGTGTGTCTTTGGACGAAAGTCGAAAAACTTATTTCTGTGGTCTGATTCTAAGTCGCTCTTCAAACTACTTGAAGAAGAGTCCAAAAGTGTGCGTGAATCTTGGTCAGCTATCTTGATGCGGTTTCAACACTGGGCACTCATCTCTGCCTGCCGTCCGGGCCTCAAACTCTTCCTGCCGTCCGCGGCTCAACTTCTTCTCTCCAGAGTCTGAATTACTGGGCACTCATCTCTGCCGCCGGTGCGCGAACTAACTTCTTCTCGCCAGCTTGGGTCGAACGAACTTCTCGCAGGGCCAAACGAACTGGCCTCTTCTGCCCGCTAGGGGGCGAACGAACTCTGCCCGCCGTCCGCGGATGAACTCCGCCTGCCGTCCGCGGCTGAACTGATTTCTGTCTGGTGGGGCTTCGTTTTTATTGACGCCCTCAAAACTGGGGTGGGTCTGTCGGCGCCAGGGGTTCTTCGATAATTCTAAATACGTATCCACCCTTCCTATTTCTGGTTAGGGATTTTCCACTCTTTTCCATTTTTGGTAACTCTTTTCTCTCCCCCTCTCTTACCGTGCTTCTGAGGGGCGTGCACCAACTTCCCCACTTCTTCGTATCGGCTTCTCACACTTACAGTCTGATAGAGGCGTCGACTGATTTTCTTTGTGCGTCACGTGACCGCTCTCGGCCAATGAGGTCCTGGTCGGGTATCTTTCCTCCTCCTTCGTGCGTCATGTGATCCACTTGGCCAATGACGTCTTGGTCGGGTATCTTTCCTCCTTCTTCGTGCGTCATGTGATCCACTTG